CAGGGTTGGGTTTAGTCTATGATTAGACTTAAGATTTATTGGTGACYTTGATAAAAGTTAAGTATTTGTGCAAGTTTAGGCTTCCTCTATAACGTCAGGTTCCAGCAGTGGGTTAGTTAACTCAGCAAATTTGGGTGACTTCCCCCCACCTCCAATTTGCCTGCTTCTCCCATTCCTCAGGGGCTTGGCCTTCAGAAGAGGGAAAGGCAAAATTTTGTGGTCTGGTTTGGCTGCGTGGCTTCCATCCCCTGTCATGTGCCCAGGGTGCCCTCTGGTGGCAGTCTTTAGCAGTGCTGAGTTCCTCAGATTTGGTCCACCTATCTGGCTCACCCTCAAGCCCATCATCCATCCATGTCCATCTGGCTAGCTCTACCTCCCCCCAGAGAAGTAGAAAACTGAGGAAGCAGCCAGGGAAACTCCCCTATACAGGAGGAGATTTTTTTCATTTCCTGATGAGTCAGGCATCTTGATCAATCCCTATCCCCTGTTCCCCAGAACTTAGAGTCTCAGTCCTGCAAAGAAATTCACACCTTTTACTTGGTTAATTCACTTGAAAGATATTATAGAGCATCTCCCTTGTTTCAGGAAGGTACTGAAGGTATAGTAATGAACAAGACAGAAGCCCTAAACTCTTGGGGCTCACATTCCTCTTTCTTCTCTCAAATCCCCAACTCCTAGTCCACAGCCCTCATCAGAAAGGCAGAAGGTTGAGGAGGATTTAGAACTGGGAAGCTTGGGGTCTATTCTTCCCCTAGATTCAGAGGTTAGACTACCTACCCTAGGCTCTAGGCTGTCTTCCCATCTCCTCGGATGCCTCCTCTGAACTCAAGGGTTAGCCACCACTCACATGCCAGAGGCTCCTCAGCCTTTACCCCAGGACCTTCTCCTCTTTCTAGAACTCAGGACTATGACTCCATTCCTGCAGGAAAGCCCTCCTGGGCTTACAGACTTTTTGCCCTACTGAGACCAATGAGTTTTCTCTCAAAATCGGATCCACCATATACCCAGGTGCTCAAACCAAATTCCAGCACTTCCTCCCAGATTCTTCTCTTGGATACCCCCAGGATATCCATAAGGGCAACCTGTTCTATGTACCCAGGAAATGGGTGCAGTCTCTGTCTGCTCCACAGCTACCACTCCAGGCCCAGCCCCCAGCCCCCAGCACAGCTCTCTGCAGTAACCTCCTAACCCTCCTTGTTTTCCTTCTTGCCGGCGACACTCTGTTTTCCACATAGCAGGCCAAGAGATTTTTACAATAATAAATCAGATCATGTCACTTGCCTGCTTAAAATCCTCCAGTGGCTCCCATCTCACTGAGAATAAAATCCTCACCCGGGCTTACTAAGCTTTCCACCAGCTGGGACATGCCCTTCTCCCCATCTCTCTAATTTCATCTCTCACCCCAGTTTCTATGGCCCTTCTTTATTGATCTGACACATAGAGGCCAAGTTCATGCTTATCTTAGGAGTTTTTGCACTGGTCATTTTTTGAGCTTGAAATATTCTTGCTCTGAACCTTGTTTTTTTTTTTTTTTTTTTTTTTTTTTTTTTTTTTTTTTTTTTTTATTTATTTTTTTAGAGAGAGAGAGAGAGAGAGAGAGAGAGAATTTCTTTAATATTTATTTTTTAGTTCTCGGCGGACACAACATCTTTGTTGGTATGTGGTGCTGAGGATCGAACCCGGGCCGCACGCATGCCAGGCGAGCGCGCTACCACTTGAGCCACATCCCCAGCCCGCTCTGAACCTTGTTGGTATGGCTATTATTATTAGGAGCTTAAATGCCACCTCTCAGAGAAGAACTTCCTAACCTCTTACACCTTCCTATTGTGATTTTCTGCATATAGCACTGTTCCCTAACTAATGTTTGCCACCGCCTTCCTTTTCCTCCTCCTCTTCCTCCTCTTCCTCCTCCTCCTCTTCTTCTTATTCTTCCTTCTCCTCCTCCAGGGAGGGGATTGAGCCTAGGGACACTCTACTACCAAGCTACACCCTTAGCCCTTTTCTTTCTCTCTCTCTCTCTTTCTTTCTTTCTTTCTTTCTTTCTTTCTTTCTTTCTTTCCTTCCTTCCTTCCTTCCTTCCTTCCTTCCTTCCTTCCTTCTTTCTTTCTAGTTGAGACAGAGTTAATTTTGAACTTTTAATCCTCCTGCCTCAGACTTCCAGGTGGCTGGGATTACAGGTGTGTGCCATCACACCCAGATGCGCTTATTTAATTCTTTACTGTAGAATGTGAGCTTCATGAGAGCTCATTCACACTGTATTCTCAGTGCTGGGCACATAGCAGGGCCCGGGAATGATTTGTTGAATTAATTAGTAAAAGTTGGTTTTAAGTGGCTTCCCTCATTTCTTCTTGTGGAGAGGGAAGAGACCCCCTACCCCACCCAAGAGGCTCCCTCTTCCAGGTCAGCAGTAGTTTCCTCTGGAGGCAAAGCTCTCTGTACCATCCCAGAGCTCCCCCAGCCTTGGGGAGTACTCATCCTTTTCAAAAGACCAGCTTTGTGTCCTCCACTGCAGCCCCTGGACCTCTGAGAACAGGCCCTGGTACCTTGGTGGAAAACCTAACCCTTATTAAGGGTCCTCTGCATAATTGCTGTAGGAATTGTCAATCAGGGATGTCCCTGTACTGTCAGAATCATGTCCTCACCTTCAAATTGGCCCCCTCAGTGGGCCTGCCTGAGGAGAGGCCTGCAGAGGTGTGGAGACAAAGTGTATACTCCAGCCCCACTTTGTGAAGGAGAGTGGGGCTGCCCTAGGGCCTCACTGGGCTGGCTGTGCTGTCCTTGAAGGTCCTGTCCCTCAGCTCTCACCTAAGGAAGCCATGTTGGGGGAGGACTCTCCAGTGTGGCAGCCTGGAGAGAGGCAGAGATGCTCTTTGCTGGTACTCACTGGGAAGTGAGCCCTATGGCACTTGGTGAAGAGGCTCTCTCCTGGTGTACCTCCGAAGTGGGAGGAGCCCAGATGAGATAAATAAGAACTTTTCAGCTGGTGGCAGTTGAGGGGACTGCAGGGAGCCAATGACTCCCCCACTCTCTCTGCATTCTGCTCCCATTGTTGATCTGTTCATCTGTGGCCTATGTCCTGGATCCTCATCTGACGCTCACTCTTCCTGCCCAGCAGCCAGCTCCCATGGCAAGATCCGAAAGTCATCTTGTAGAAGAGGAAGGTGCCCTGAGAGTGTAATTCAGGCGTCTGCCAGCAGGTGGGAGAGGGGCTTGGGCTGAGCCTAGAACCGGACAGGGGTGAATCTGGGGAGTCTCCTAAGAAGGTGGTGGGAGAAGGGGGATCCAGACCACCCCCATGGCAGCATCAGCAGTGGCCCTACACTGGTCTGTAGCTGCCTAAGGCAGCGGGTGGCCTCAGGCAGCTGCAGACCAGTGAACCAGATGAGAGGATGAGCCCAAAGAGGTGGACTCACACATACATGGTGGTGGTGGGGAAGTGCTGAGAATAGGCCATCAACTCCAGGGGCTGGGTGCTTCAAAGGTTAGGGCCCCTCCCCCATTAGAACCAATGGAGATGAGCTGCTCAGCACCTACTGACAGACTTGTAACACTCTTAGTGGGAGAGGAAGACAGCAGGACAGGAGGACTGAGATGGTGTCAGAGGAAGGACAGAGCTCTCCTTGTGGGAAGTACCTGGGCTATGGCAGGAGGGCAGCAGAGCCCACCTTGGAAAAGGAAATCGATGAAGCCAAAGGCAGGGAGTAATGGTCTCCAAGAGGTGGGGGGCCAGTGTGTACCATCATCACTGCTTGCTTGGATCCCTGCAGGTGGGAAGGGATCACAGGATTTCCCCCCCAGTTCCCTTGTTCTACTTACAAGGCAGTCCCCATTCCTCTACCAGGTGCCCTTGCCTGCCAGGACAGACCACAGGCTGAGTMCAATCTCTGCAAGCCCAGCCAGCCCCAGAGAAAGGTCCAGACTTTACATAGGTGGCTCTCTCCCCTCACCATGCATGCTGGGTGGTCATGCCCTCAACCACCTACCCCTCCCATATTCCCGCACATGTGTGATATTGACAGTTACCCAAATACTGCACTCCGCATCTCCTATAGGAGCCAGGCAATTGCACCCACAGCAGCCCTCCTACATTCATCCAGCCCCAGGTGTGACACACCCGTTCCCACAAGACATTCACGGACACACACTCCTTTCCCCACGGACCCCTTTCTAGGTCTCCAAGAAGAGCTAGTGGGTGGTTTGGCCACTGGCTGGCAGGGCCCAGAACCCAAGTGCTCAGTCAGAGGCCCCACAACAAGAGGCCCAGAGCAAGCTCCCTCCAGCTTGCTTGCACACCAGAGAGGACTGACTCCAAAGGTGCTTTATTGAGGAGTGGGAACATAGATGTGGCACAGTGAAGATGGCAGCATTGTTGTCAGTGAAGATCACTGGGACCTTCAGGGTTGGAGAATCCCCCTCAGCACTCATCCTTGGCAGGACTCACACTGTGGGGGTCAGGGAGTGCTCCGCTGGGCTCTACCCATTCATGGCTGAAGTCAAAATCTCTCCTCCCAAATGAATCCCAAAGATCATGTTGGGGTAGAGACAAGGAGGTAGGGGAGGGGCAGAGGAGGGCCTAGAGGACTTTCACAGTGTGAAGGGATGGAGCAAGTTAGGGCTGAGTTCCTCCCTTCTTGGCGACAGGGGCCTTGCTGGTAGCCAGAGCCGCTTGATGCTTCTTTTTCCACAGAGCCCAATACTGTGGGTGGGGTCAGCTTCCAAGGTCCAGGAGCCCAGCTTCATCAAGTCTTGAGAGTGAGGTGAGATAGGGCACAGAGACCCCGTCTAAGGGGCCAAGGCTGCTCATTTCTTTAGGATGTGAGCCTTGACACCTTCACCACATTCTTCCCTCCAGAAGTTCAGAAATGAGACAGGTGAGGCCACCTGTGCCCAGGACTGGTTCCTTATGGAGAAAAAATTAAAGCCCCCCTCTTCTAGTTTTTGTTTAAGTGACACAGGATGGAGGGAACCCAGACAGGGGAATGGACAGAGGCCTTGGTCCGCTAGGAGGCGGACAGCTCCCGGGGCAGGTTGAGCTGCGACCCTTCGGGGCGCGGCACACAAACTGCTGTGGGTGAGGGCGCGTCCAGGCTGAAGAGGCCGGGGCCCGGGCCCGGGCTGGAGCGGCCAGAGGACGCGGCCGAGGCAGCGGGGCTGAGCTGTACGGCCGTGGTGTCCTGCGCCGTGCGCTCGCTGCTTTCCATCTCCAGCGCCACTGGCCCCGCGCGCCCGCCATTCTGGCCCCGGGCCGCCGCTTCCAAGGAGCGCGTACGGAGCGCAGGGCCTCGGCGGCTACACACGCAGCAGGCTGCGAAAAAACCGAGCGCCAGCACTAGCAGCACCGGTCCTACGATCAGTGGCACATTGTGCCCTGGCAGGAAGGAGGCGAACGCACCCACTAGCGTCACGTTCACACCCGCCAGCAGCACGCACAGACCGCAGGCGCAGCACAGCGCGGGTGACGGTAGGCCTGGCAACCGGCCCTGGGCACGGCCGGAGGGCGCGGGAGCCACAGGTCCCTTGCTCTTCTTTTTCTTTGTGGGCGGCATCGGCCTGAGCACGCCTGGCACGCATCAAGATCCCTCCAGCCAGGGGCAAGCTCACGATGATCCTGTGAGCACACAGAGAGGGCGAGTGAGTGGAGCATCTCAGCTCAGTTCCCTGGCTACATTACGTGCCTGGAAGTGAAGAGGTCATCTTGGGCAGACCCCTGCCTCTGCTTTTGCCTCTGGGAAACAACCCACCTCATATGTATAGTCAGCCTGTTTTCCCCACCTAACTCCTGGAGTCCCTCACAGCTAATTTTGCCATTCACCCTCCCTCCACCCAGCGCCTCCAAGAAGCCTTCCTGGGAGAATTAAATTAAGAGAGTGAATCTCTGTGAAACCCTCAGCAGGGTACTTATTAAATGATCATTATCATCACTCTCAATAGTTATAGTTAGAGGACACAGCTCTTGGGTTTTTGACAACTCCACCTCCAACTCTGCCTGGAGATCATTTGATCTAGCCCCTCCTTACTCAGATGAAGGAAATGAAGTTTAGCCCTGCACCGTGGAGCAGGCCTGTAATCCCAGCAACTCTGGAGCAGGAGGATGCAAGTTCCAGGTTGGCCTAGCATATTAGTGAAACTGGAGGCAATTTAAAAAATAAAAAGGGATGGGAATGTAACTCATCCCCAAATCTTGCCTCCCTCAAGTCCCTATTGTGAGACCCTGTCTCAAAACATAAAAAAATAAAACAAAATAAAAAGGGCTGGGGATGTAACTCTTCCCCAAGATCTTGCCTCCCTCAAGTCCCTGTTGTCTTTGTAGCTCTCCTGTGCCTTTAAATAAATTTCTTAAATACTAAATCCAGCTTTTTTAGTTATTCTCAGTGGTGAGTTGGTCTGATACGAGCTAGTCTACCTTAACCAGAAACAGAATTCTAGATGAGAATCTGAAAAAAAGTAAAGTGCTTCTGGGTTCAAGTTCAATAAACAAAACAAAACACAACACAAAACCAAAGAAAGATGAAGGAGGAGGAGGAGGAGGAGAAAGGAAGGAAGGAAACAATCAGTTAATGCTCAGGAGAGGTCTAGTACTTTATTCAAGATCCAGGACCTAGGAATGATATGTGGATGCTAATTCACAAGGGGAAGGGGAGAATAGTTATATTTCTGGACTAAACAGAGGGTAATGAAGGAGGGAAAGGGGGTATGGGGGTAGGAATGATAGGAGTAGAATTAATTGGACATTATTACCCTAGGTGCATATATGATTACATGACCTGTGTAACTCTACATCATGCACAACTAGACAAATAAGTTATACTCCATTTATGTATGTCAAAAAAAGTGTCAGTGAAGGGTCCTGGTTAGGTAGGGGAGTAATCAGATGGTAGCACAAATGGGAGCAGAGCATGGAGAGTGAGGAACAGGGAGGGTGACCAGGACAAGAGGCCCCATATTCTGTGTTCAGGATTATCACATGTGACATGGGGTTAATAATAAATCAGGGGCTGGGGTGATGGCTCACAGGTAGAGTGCTTGTCTGGCACGTGTGAGGCCCTGGGTTCAATTCTCAGCACCACATACAAATAAATAAATTAAATCAATGACTAAAAATATAATAATAATAATAATAATAATAGAATCAGCCTTATAGGATATTAATAATTAAATGCTTTAAACTAAATAAAGTTAAATAAAGTTCTTAGAACAGTGCTGATTAAACATTAACCATGCCCTTGAGGGCGAGTTATTACATCTCAGATCTGAGAAGCTGGTCATGTCATGTATGGAAACAGAAGAGTTGGTTGGCCTTCCAATTGGAGGTGTCTTCCTGACTGTCTCCAAAGCCACACACTTTGGGATTGGAAAAAGCTTGATGACTAGGTGAACGAAAATGAGAGATTATATCAGGAAGGGGCAGCTCAAGCAGGTCAGAGGGCGTGGAGGATCACCCCCAGGCCTCCAGATCTGATGACTCCAGGGCTCCCCCTCCTGGCACTGTGCTGACAGGTGGCAGTTTTACTGGGACTCACTCCAACCAAGAATCATCTTGCTGCCACACCAAGCTGGCAGGAAGTCAGAAATCCCAAAATCCTGGCAAAGAAAGCTCATGTAGACCCTTCCGGTCAGTCATGGGTAAACCATAGATTCCTTGGGAAGTGTCACACACGCGCGAGCCATCTCTTTTAACCGGCTGCTGCTGGTTCTGCCAGGCAGCAACAGCAACAACTAAAGGGATACAGCAGTTTACAGTTTGCAAAGAACTTTTATATCCATGATATCACTTAATCCCTACAACTGCATGACACTTACTAATAACCACATTTACAACTGAGGAAATTGAGGCTCAGAGAGGATTGGGCTCTGGTAGTTGGAGTAAAAGGAAGAAAAAACAACCTAAAACCAGAGTAAGAGAGCAGATATCTGGGCTACACTATACACAATATTGCTTCATTTTAAAGACAAAGATCTGGGCTGGGGATGTGGCTCAAGCAGTAGCGCGCTCACCTGGCATGTGTGTGGCCCGGGTTCGATCCTCAGCACCACATACAAACAAAGATGTTGTGTCCGCTGAAAAACAAAAAAAATAAATAAAATTTTCTCTCTCTCTCTCAAAAATATATCTTAAAAAAAAAAAAAAGACAAAGATCTGATGCTCAGAAGAGGCTGTGAGATTTCCAGATTTTCCTTTCAAAACACTCACTCCCTTTAATTATCAATATCTGACATTATCTGGCAAAGGTGGGATTTTTATTTTTATTTTTTAATTTTTATTTTATTTATTTTTGGTACCAAGGTTTGAACTCAGGGACACTTAACCACTGAATCACATCTCCAGCCCTATTTTATATTATTAGATACAGGGTCTCCCTGAGTTGCTTATAAACTCGCAGTCCTCCTGCCTCAGCGCCCTCTGTGCAGTTGTGCCCGGCTAACAGTGAGATATTTCTGTGGGGAAGGCTCCCTCTGAGGCTGAGTGTGTCTCTGGTAGAGGGGGCAGAGTCTGGACCTTCATCACACTTCATGAAAGACTAGAAAGCTGGTTGGTGAGGTGGCTGGAAGACCCAAATATCTCATTTTTTTCCCCTTTTAGGGTTTTTTTTTTTGTCTTTGGGTTTCAGCAGTTTTACTATGATGTGCTAAACTCTGTGTGTGTGTGTGTGTGTGTGTGTGTGTGTGTGTGTGTAATTTATCCTTCGTGGTTTCCTGGTACTTCTACAACATGTGGGTCAACATCTACCCCCAGTATGAGAAAATTTCAGACATTCTTTTTCCCAATTTTCTCTCGCCTCTCCTTTTGGGGTCCTGTTGCACATATGTTCAACCATCCAGTTTTGTTCCACATGCCTCTCACACTCTATTCTGTGTTTTTTCCAGGCTTCCCCTGCCCTTCTGTTTCTGTCTGGATATTTTTCTTCTGATTTATCAACCAGTTCTCTAACCTTTTCTTCCCAAGTGTCTTTCCCTACTGTTAAATTCATCTCTTGAGTTCTTTTTTTCCCCTTTTCTGTGATATGGAGGATTGAATCCAGGGTTACTTTATCACTGAGTTACATCCCCAACCATTTTATTTTTTATTTTAAGACAGGACTCCACTAAGTTGCAGAGCCTGGCCTGGAACTTGTGATCCTCCTGCCTCAGCCTTCTAAATGGCTGAGATTACAAGTGTGTGCCACCACTCCTGGCCATCTATTGAGTACTTAATTTCAGTTATTACTTCTTTTCTTTCCAAGATCTTGCCTCCCTCAAGTCCCTATTGTGAGACCCTGTCTCAAAAAAAAAAAAAAAAAAAAAAAGAGCTGGCGATGTAACTCTTCCCCAAGATCTTGCCTCCCTCAAGTCCCTGTTGCCTTTGTAGCTCTCCTGTGCCTTTAAATAAATTTCTTAAATACTAAATCCAGCTTTTTTAGTTATTCTCAGTGGTGACTTGGTCTGATACGAGCTAGTCTACCTTAACCAGAAACAGAACTCTAAATGATAATCTGAAATTTGCACTTTCAGATTGATAATGAACAATTGTGCTGTACAGAACACTTTACAATAATATCTAATTTAATTTTTGTAACATAAGATTATTACCATTAGATTCCCCATTTTATAGATGAGGAAATCAAGGCACAGAAATATTAAGTAAACTCATCCCAAACCACTCAGCGGCAGTGCTGGTGGTGCCAGGATTCAAAACCTGGTGTCCTGACTCCAAAGCCTGAGCTCTCAGCCAAGCAAACTGCTAAATTTGCTAAATATCTGTTGAATGACTGAAGTTCCAGGCATGTCACAGGCTCTCCTCTAGGCCCTGTAGTTAAACTCCTGAAATTGGCTCATATATCCCTCAAATGTCAGCAGCAGAGGAGGAAATTGAGGCTGTGTTTTCCCTGTTGCAAGGAACAATACCTTTTTAAATACCTTTAACTAACTAACTAACTAACTAATTAATTAATTAATTTTTATGTGGTGCCCAGGATTGAACCCAGTGCTTCACATGTGCTAAACAAGCACTCTACCACTGAGCCACACCGCCAGCCCAGGAAGGTAAACTGTCCTGGCCCCTTCCTTGGGTTAGCATACTTGGTTCAAAAGAAAGCAAATTCCTGCCCAGGGGCTGAGCTTCTAATGCTAACTGCCAATGGTGATTCTTATCTGCTTGTAGGTGGCAGAGCTAACTCTATAAACAGACCTGTTCAGAAACAACTCCTGGAATTTCCATCTCAGACCCAGAAAGAGCTAAGGAYATGTGGGTGCTGGGCTTATGCCTGCAGTTGCCTCCACTCTGGCTAACTAAGATCTGGACATGGGCAGGGGTGAGGCATTGAGGTCGTTCAGCAGTTGCAATTTAATTTCCACGTCCATTTCCTCTGGGGGACTGTGGCCCTCTGGGTGCCCCGCTGTGGGGTTCTGTTTTGTTGTGGGAGCTCTGGCTGGCACTGTTGTGAGATGTCCTTGGTGCTGTTCACTGAATCCTTCTGGCTTTCCTTCTTTCTGAGCACATGTTAAGATGGCATCTCCTGGCCAATCTGTGATTCTGGCCAATGAACTGTGACTTGTGTCACTTCCAGTT